TCGTTTGCAAGACCATAGAACGAATGATAAATAATCGACTAGTTTGGTAATTAGAAACCACTAACCTAATCATCGATGTTCAATGTGGTTTTCGCAAACACAGAAGCACCGTCAATCACTTAGTGCATTTCGAATCATTTGTTAACGCTCTTATTAATAAACAACACGCAGTCTCTATCTTTTTTATTTAGAAAAAGCATATGACACTACGTGGATATACGTCATTATAAAAGATTTAAATGGCTTTGGATTGAGAGGTCGTGTACCTTAATTTATATCAAAACTTTTCAAATGACTGGCAATTTCAAGTTCTACCCTGTCTGAACATTAAAATGAGCATCAGAGCGTCAACAACAATTTCTTCTCGAATACCGGATAACAGCTCTATATTGACTGCAGAAACAAACGCCATATTAAGGATTGGAAAGTCACATGACTTGGTGCGCCTAGTAGCTGCACGAGTTGTATGTTCCCCAGGGAGTTGAGATGGAGATTGCCATGTCCCGTTGAGACTGACATCCAATGACCGAGAGAAACAAAGCGCTTTGAGCATGCATGTAGATGGGATGGACTATAACGCTATATAAATACCTATATATAATAATAATAATGATATCACCAACCCTTAAATATATTAAAAAACACCAACAAGCAAATATAAACAATGTATCATCTTTTCGGACTCTCTTGCGTGCCTCCAGGCTATTAAAAATTTGTCATTTATCCACTTTTGATTGAAATTATTGAATTATATAATGATATTAGTACTGGCCGATATACTACATCGTCTTCTGTTGGTTACCCAGTCACGTTGGAATTTCTGGTAACATACTGGCCAAATTTGCTGCTAAGGCAGCACTCAACAAATCTGTGACACCACTTCTGATCCCATAAATCTATCATTAGATCTTACATCCGTGATCTGATGCAGAAGAAGTGGGACATCCGAGTAAGTGTCAATAAATTACATAAAGAAAAGCCAACTATCGGTTGCACCCACTTGGGCTTTCAGTCCAAAACATTCGAGGTAAATTGAGCTTACCGACTATTTTACAACGTAGTATTTTTGTGATTTTAAATTTTGGCTAACTTTAACTTCAATGACCAAAGGCAAAAGCAATGATGCAAATCTGACTAGGGCCCATGCAGGTAGCAACAGTACTCTAAATCCCCATGGTCCCTCGTATGGTGATCTACCTTCAGTTGTTGGTGATACTCAGCCCATTTTTATGTTGTATTGCCCAAATCTGAAATTCCATTTTTTAGATAGATGTTAGTTTTAATTCTTGATACTATGATATACTTGTAATGTACTCTACGGGCACTGAACTTTAGGAGTTATGATTAATGACAGTGAATAAAGACTTTATTGTGACTACATTCACTATTTTAGGAGAGCTGAATGCTCGTATTGGTCAGGAGCAATGTTGTATTGAAAGCGAAGATGGAAAGTATCTTCTTCTGGAAGAGATAGATGACGACGGCGATACATTTAATATATTTAAAAGCTCTAAAGATGAATTTGTCAACACACAGGAGACCCCGTTCATACATATGTGCAGAAAGCTTTGTTCTTAACGAGAGATCGGGATGGGACAACAAACGTGACTTCATGTTCATAGGTTCATAAGGGAATAGCGTAGACGATTACAGCGTAGCTGTCTAGATGTCTAGTGAACACTCCAGAATCTTAGGATTGATCATCTAACAATAACGGTTGTTATAATAACATCACGTGACCAGCCAGTGGCACGTGACACACACAGTACATTGAGCGTTGCACCTGGAGGTCGGAATACACCGGTAGGTTCTCTGATATTATGAAGCATGCTCCTGATACATTTTCACACACGTTTGATATCCCGATACTCTTCCCAGAAACACAGCACATGCCACAAACAAACAACGTACACAACAACCCAAATGGTTTGACAAACAATGCGAGGACTTACAACGAAAAAGTACGAACTTCTAGACATGTTAGAAACAACCATTAGGATACCATGCCGCAGTTAAGCTTGAATACTACCCCACGCAGACACATTATACTGACTCCGAGCCGACCTGTCCTTGTTCTACCCATTTATGCCGAGCTCCAGGCAGGGAACAACAAGTAGCATATGTTTACGTCTTTTGGTATGAGTCTTCCGGGATCGAACCCGCGAACTTCCGCTTACCTGGCGGACGCCTTAACCACTACACGACGGAAGCGGTCATGTCTGACAAAGAAATTATGAATTCAATAAAACAAAATTCCCTAATGCAGACGGTATTCCTGCGGAAGCTCTTAAAAGACCCTGTTCATTATTATTGCCATTTTATAAACGATTCTTCAATGAAATATTGAACACTGGAAACTTTTCACAATCATGGCATATGGGTTTGATTGTAGTCCTATATAAGACTGAAAGCAGGAATCGTCCGAATAAATACAGAATTGCTCTTCTTGATTTTCTTAGTAAAGTATTCATGACCATTCTAGAGTCCCGCATAAAAATATAGGTCACCACACAGGAACTGATATCTTAGTCACTGGCGGAATTTAGGAAAGATTATAACACAACCGACCAAATATTCATTTTCAATTCTATAATACATAAATATATCAGAAAGAAAAGCGGCAAATTGTTTGGCAGTGATCGCTGTTTCGGCGCGGCGATTGGCTACACGCGCTGGAAGGTTCCGTTTCAGGGGCGGGTGTGTGCTCATCGCTTAGTGGGTTAGGCCTGCTAGCGGGTATATAAAGTGTGCGCGACGGGTGTTTTATTATCTAAGTTGGGGACAGCCGAGGATAGCTGAGCCCTTGTTTCGTGACGAAACAGTTGATCCCCCTCTCACAGTGAAACACATAGGATAAGAAGTAGTAGTCAAGACATAGGTATAAGGTGGTTGGGGGGAATAAAGTATCTAGTTTCAGGGATATATATATATATACACACACACACACACACATACACACGGTAAATGCTAAAATCAACTACGGCTGTGATAAGACAGGGTTAGCACTTGTACAAGATTTACACTAGTTTGGGGTTAGGTGGGATTGTTATTAATTTATCCTTTGTTTAAATCTTCCCAGAAATATATTTTGTATTATTTATTCCTCTTAGAGATTGTTTTCTTTCTTTTGTAAACAAAAATGGTGATTTTAAGTTTCTTGTATGAATCACAAGGCTGCAACCCGTAACTGGGAAACCGCGCAGTGGAAAGTTTTTCTCATCGAATGACAGGTATACACCTGTAATGTACATTCTTGTGGCAAACATGCATATGGGCATGGAAAGCAAACAACGCAAAGTAGAATCACACACTTAACATGAGAGAGAGTGAGTTAAAATCTATAGTCACATCGGCAATATTTCAGCCATATCGTGACTAAAACAGTTAATAAGTTATCAATAGATAATATAAAATCTGTCGACAAAGAACAGTAAAACAGCGAGAAGATCACAATTTGAGGTATTAAAAGTAGCATTTAACTTTAAAATATACGACTATTAGGGACAGTACAATATAAAAATGGGCTACAGATCGCCAACAACTGAAGGTAGATCACCATACTAGAGACCATGGGGACTTACATTACATTTGCTACCTGCATGGGCCCTAGCTGGATTTACACCATCCCTTCAGCCGCTGGTGAGTGTAGGAAAATTTAGCCATGATGTAAAATTACAAAGATACTACGTTTTAAACAAATTGGCAAATTTAAGTTTCCTTTGAATGTTTCGGGACTTACTTACTCTCTCGGGAAACATGAGAGAGGTTGCATCAAGGTTGCATCTTATCCCTTATCCTGTTCATTCTATATTGTAGTTTCAAAATCCTTTGTTCAGTTCTATTCAAGTCTATACTCAGTTTAAGATTCAATTCAACTTCAAAGTCACATGTCATGAACCTCTTCAACAAAAAATACCAATACCTTCAATACAGTTGACTTGACTTTTATTCTTCATCAGTGCTTGGAATGATTGACATTAATATGTATGATGTAGGTCCTCAAATCCTCAAACATTAAAGTGAGTGAGTTTGGTTTACGCCGCTTTTAGCAGTGTTCCAGCAATTATTATGGCGGGGGACACCAGAAATGGGCTTCACAAATTGTACCCATGTGAGGAATCGAACCCGGGTCTTCGCGTGATGTGCGAACGCTTTGACCACTAGGCTACCCCACCGCCCCTCTCAAACATTAAAGCCAACCCTCCAACTCCAAATCCTCACACCTAACAGCATCTAGTCCAGCTGACCATGAGCTCACATCTCAAGTCCATCTCCTTACTCTCATACTTCCTTTGGTCCCTGGCTTGAGCTAAGTGTCCCAAAATCTAGGCCAATTTAGTTTTGCACAAAACTTAAAATTTTGACATAAAAATAATTTCAACTCATAATTTTGGCCATAACATATATATTGATAAACTTGTTAAAGATATCATGAACAGTACCTATAGTGGTGCATCTATTGACGAAGCTGTTAACACACTTTCCATTCCTGTTTGCCGATGGTGTTATTTGGGGACAGTATTATAAATTTGCAAAATAAATTTGATATTCCAGATATGTATTGCAAGAAGTGGGGACTCTCTATATATACCGACAAGACCAAGGTTGTAGTATTCAAAAAAGGTGGCAAAGTATCAAAACATGAAAAGTGGTGTATTTTAAATGAGAAAATTGAAACCGTCAACTACTATGAATATCTGGGATTAACTTAAAAATATGTTTTCTAAAGCTTGTGGTGTCTTAGCCAAGCAAGCTGAGAAGGATTGTGTCCAATCAGGAACAGTCAATACATGCATTTGTGCCTTTAAATCATGACTTCCAGATATTGCTTTTAAAATATTGGATTGAAAAATACAACCTATCCTATTGTATGAGTCGAAATCCAGGGGACAGTGTATCGACACAACGTTGAAATGGTACATTCACATTTTTGCAATTTTGTCTGTCGAAGTGGTTAGTCACTCAAGCTCTTCGAACCCGGCCTAACTAAATGAAATATAATGTCCACTAAGAAAGTGAATAAAGGTAAAACAAATCCGGATACTCCATCTAAGTCTGCTGCTCCCAAGTTGGATGAATATATGCAAACCCGAGCAAGAACAGGCCTCAAGAGGCCACCGGACCAGGAGAACATGCCGCCCACCCTGGCAGCCATTTCTGTACCGGCAGACTCGGACAAGTACGAACTGAAAGAGTTCATTCCAGATGCCTTGAAAGAGCAAACTGAACAACTCTTGAGTAAAGTGGACTCAATGAACGAGGAAATTAAACACTTACACAACAAAACAACAGACATCTTAGCGAACTGTGTCTAACGCGTATAACGCGGGGCAGTTGGAAAACAACAGTAGCGAAATATACAACAGCTGAAACAGGAGATGACGAACATGTAAAAGGACTTTGATTTCATGTTCGTCAACCCAAGAACGTTATTCTAGGATGCACCCCTGAAGGGCAACCTCCTCGTGGTGGGTGCGGGGTAATGCTAATGGCTCTTCGCCCCCGTGTGGACCCAGGGTCGAATAGGTCCACAGCACCCCATTGCTGGTCGTAAGAGGCGACCAAATTGTGCAACCCGTTTGCCGTGGGTTGCGCTCCTGTGTCGGTTGTAAGGGAGTCTGGTGGTTGAGGATGACGGAACCGGCAATAGTGTTCCTTAATCCAACATACCACTTCGACCCTGACTTTGCCTAGACGGGTGGTAGAATAGGTCCGATTCTACCAATCGGCTTGTCACGCCTTGCCCTGTGCATGGAATGTTTCCACAAAATTTGGTACTACAAAACACTTTTGGACATGTTCAAAATGTTAACTGATATTCTGCCCAAACCAAATAGCCTTGCAGACCCATGCACAGAAGGCGGTGGCTCATGGGCCAATCTGGTGATACTGACATCAGATTTCTGTACGTCTCCAAGTGATTGTCATGGGCCGAACCATCCTGACAACTGGTAGACAACTACAGCATTTCATGTCAAATTCGCTGGAGTATAACACCCCCTTATCCCCGGTCTTGGCAGCTTGGAGATCCGCTGCAGTATAAGATCCCCCTGTTGACACTCCATGGTTGGTGGGGAGAGGGGATGCCGAACCACATTCCCTACGACATGGCTTCCCAACACCCCGGTTCAAAGCGAAGACATATGGATTCTGACAATTCGTCGTCTGATGAGAGTACGCCCCTTCGAGCTGGTGACAATCAACCACTGCAATTGAACCCATTTGCAGTGTCCAAGGGTATCGCTGGTATCTGCGGAGAGGTTGCCAATGTAACAAAGCTTCGGTCCGGTTCTGTCCTTGAAGAATGTGCTCGGAGACAGCAATCCTTGAACCTACTGAAATTACAAGAGCTTGTCAATGTAAAGGTTTCTGTCTCAGCGCACAAAAAACACTGAACACGTGTAGAGGCATTGTACGGGACAGAGCTCCATGCCTGTCTGACATGACTGAGGAACAAATTGTCCATGAATTTTCCCAGCAGTCTGTCACAGCTGTGAAGAGATTCACCATCAAGAAGGACGGTGTTGTTCAACCAACAAACACCTATCTGTTTACGTTCGCCCGATCGAAGATCCCTGAATCGATTAGAGCTGGTTATTGTAGCATTGGTCTGGAGGTGTATGTCCCCAATCCACTCCGGTGCTACAACGGCCAAAAGTTTGGCCATGGATCCAAGTCATGTCATTCCTCTGCTGTTTGTTACCGCTGTTGTGACAAACGTGAGGGAATAGACTGTACTATGGAAGTGAAGTGTGCAAACTGCGGTGGCAACCATATGGCCTCTTCCGAATCTTGTCCCGTGTGGGAAAGCGAATCAGATATCATAAAGATCAAGCACAAAGAAAGTGTCTCATTTAATGAAGCTAAGAAGAGGGTTGCAAGTTTAACTGTATCCCCTTCAAGCATCTCTTCTGCCGTCTCTCGCCCTTCACCCACTACTGCAACCATCTCATGTCAGACCGATCTGACATGGGCCAGATCTTCTCACCCTTTCTCAAACCCTTCATCTCCAAAGCCAAAAGTCAAAACTTCTGAATCATAAACACCAGAACCAATGCCAAAGCCAGAAACGGAAACTGTGCGCCAAAAAAGAAAGAAAAGAAACTACAGACACTAAGGCAGCTTGAGCAACTGCCAAACCAAAAACCAAAGGCCACCTCTCTTTCAGAGGTCCCCGACGAGGTCCATAACTCCTTTGGTCCTCTGGACTCCATCTCCACCTGACACCAATAGGAGTACTTCAAACGCTTCCTCACGTTCACGTGACATGTCACCAGTGGAAGCCTCATGAATCCACAAAACATGATTCTATGGAATTGCAGGGGATTAAGAATAATTTTAATGAACTACAGTTATTGATCCAAGACTTTAAACCATCCGCGTTTTGTCTCAAAGAAACCTACCTGAACAGAAATGATAAATTTGACATCCGTCGGTACAGTTCCTACCACTCCTTTTTCTCCTCCAGGTGTTAAAGCTACAGGAGGCACTTCTATCCTGGTGAGGCAGGGCATCCTCCATAGCCCTGTTCCACTAAACACCACCCTAGAAACTGTTGCTATCCACATGACTCTGAACATAGGGTTTACACTATGTTCACTCTATCTTCCTCCCTCCTCAACTGTCCGCCTATCAGATCTTCAGATCATTGGCGACTTGAACGGCCATAATCCTCTATGGGGGAGTACTGATACAAGTAATAAGGGAAAGGTCAAATAATTATCCATGCATCTTCAACGACTTATCTCCATCCTGCCACTGGAACATACTCTGCACTTGATCTATCACTTACGGATTCTGATCTCTTAAACGAGTTTGAATGGTCGGTCCACGATGACCTTTGTGGAAGTGACCACTTCCCAACTTTTCTTACTCCTATCGATCCAGCGGATGAACCACCTTCAACAAGGTGGAAGTTTACTAGGCCAATTGGCCATTATTCCAAACTCTCTGCTATGAAAAACTTATACCGGACAACTTTGGGAATGTTCCTGAACCCATGGAACTATTTTCTTATATCTTAAATACCACTGGAGACGAAACCATTCCTAAGTTCTCTGCAAACCCGCACATACACAAACCATGGTTTGATACAAACTGTAAACAAGCTAGAATAAATAGGAAGAAGGCGGAAAAATACATCCGACAACATCCTTCTGTACATAACCTGAATGCAGTTAAAATGACACATGCCAGAGCAAGACGCACCTTTAAACAAACTAAACGTCGATCATGGAGGACATATGTGTCCAAAATCAACTCCCGCACGCCCATGTCCACGGTGTGGAATATGATTCAAAAGATTAAGGGCAAAGGATCAAACTCTGGTGTTCGCCATCTTAAAGATGGTGACTCTCTGTTAACAAATAAATTTGAAATTGTTGGCAAACCACTCCTCCTCGTCAAATTATAACCCTCAGTTCCAGAAATACCAAACCCAACAAGAAAAGAAATCAGTCAATTTTAACTCTAATAATGGAGAGGATTACAATGAAACATTTTCTCTCCATGCACTACGTACTGCCCTGGGGCAGGCTCACGACACTGCTGCAGGAGCTGATGAAATTCATTATCAGCCTCTGAAACACCTCCCTGATTCAAGTTTGAAAACACTACTCAATATGTTTAATGATTTTTTGACAACCGGAAACTCTCCTCCTTCGTGGCACAATGCCATTATCTTCCCTATACCAAAGCCTGGCCTGGATCATACTGGCCCCGATTTCTCGAAACAAACTTAAGTCTGAGTGTCTACTTAAGTTAGAGTTTTTGCTCAAATTTGAGACAATGCAGGAAAATGCATTTCCCAGATTAGATTGAAATCGATATTAAACCCAACATAGTAAACATTTTGAGTTTGGTGGATAGATTACTTAAGTTATTTGGGCTTTTTTATTTCAAAAATGCACTTGATTTAAAAATTTAGCTGTTTCAAATAGTCAAACTCAGTTTGAAATTTGAGTAAAAACTTAAGTTTGTTTCGAGAAATCGGAGCCTGATCCCTCAAATTACCGTCCTATATCACTAACTAGCTGTGTTAGTAAAACCATGGAGCGCATGGTCAACAACCGATTAATCTGGTACATTGGAGACCTCCAATGTGGTTTCCGAAAGAACCGAAGTACCATTGACCATTTGGTGCGTCTGGAATAATGTATCAACAAACAACATACTGTATCTATCTTTTTCGATTTAGAAAAAAACATGATACAACGTGAAAACATGGTATCTTAAAAGATTTACATGAATTTTACATGGGCGAGCGAGTTGAAATTGACAGTTTTCGAAACATTTTTTTTTCATTTTTTCATCCTTGGCATGTATTTATAACAACTGCATGTTCGATTTGGTCAAATCCCTTGTCAGAAAGTGTCCACAGTGCGTAGAGTTTCTGGACTTTTGTGAGTCTAGAAAATTAAATTGTGACGTGTTATACTTACCTGTCTGCAAAGGACAGTAAAGCAACTAGATTATCACAGGAATATATTTAAGACTAGTAATTAAATCTAAAATATTTTAACCATAAATGACAATACAATACACAAACAGGCCATAGATTGCCAACAACTGAAGGTAGATGACCATACAAGGGACCATGGGGACTTACAGTGCTTTTGCTACCTGCATGGACCCTAATTGGATTTACACCATCCCTTCAGTCGCTGGCGATTGTAGGAAAATTTAGCCGGAAGAACAAAGATACTACGTTTAAAATATGGTAAATTTACATTTTACTATGAAAGTTTTGGGACTCACGGTACCCTCTACGGAGGACAATAATTTTACGCTACATCAACACCCTTTGAGGGTACAGCCACTAACAATCTCAGTTTCTTATCTAAACTACCAACAATAAAATATTTAGCTATTTACAGATCAGTCAACAAATATAATTCTTTTAAAAATTTAACTATTCAATCATAATTAACAGTATAAAAAAGATCCTTCAATGTTTTGACATTGAAATACTTATCCCTTGTGATGGAATATTCAGTAGAGGTAAAGAAACAAGGAGTGAGCGAGTTAATATTTAACGTCACATCGGCAATATCTCAGCAATAAGGTACAGAAACAACTGAGTGGGTGAGTTAATATTTAACGTGACGTCGGCAATATCTCAGCCATAAGGTAAAGATACAAGAGGCCACTGTTTTCTTTAAATATATTTTGAGCTGAACTACCCATACCTCAAAACACCTTAGACCAATGAGCAACATCACTTCAGATAATCTGTCACA